ATAATTATTAAAATACAATGCAGAAAGTTACCAAAACTGAAGAATTTAGTTCTTCATAAGTCTCTTACCGTGCTGCTGAGGTACATTTTGTTCGTTACTTGTTCCTTTTTGTCGATTCATTTCTTGTTTCGGGAATAAACTTTCACTCTTCAGGGTTATTTTTTATTTCAGTTTATTGCAATGTTCCGTATACTGCCTTCGTAATTAACACGTTCTAAGTATATTTTACTTTGTTATTATCCACCTTAAATCATAGAAATATGCAATTTTTTAATAATATATTAAAGTTATAATATGCTGACAGTCAGGGCCAGGCAAAATACATCAAAAGGTAATTGAGATAGAAAATACAAAATATAAAATATTGTTGTATTTGAATTACATTGTCAAAAATACATTCAATTTTTCAGTTTAAAATACAAAGTACCAATATTTCGAAATTGTTTATTTCAAATACAAAATTCTTTTTTCTATATAAAAATATAAAATACTTCCAAAATTTTCACTTGAAATATAAAATGCTATCTATGAGTTCATGCGCATAAGAGAATTTATTTAAACTCAAATTTGATGGATCCATTTCAAATGAAATACTGAAAAAAATTCTTTATTATTAGATCTTAATCATCCTTAGATCTGATCTTGTTGGCTGAACTTTTGCAACAGATTATCGTTTATCCTTTTTTCACTAGGTGAAGAGAAAAGATAAACTAGTGCAAAAGTTCAGCAAAAAGAACAGATTTCCTTGCAATTATAAATAAAGATATGGAAATTGTATTTAAAATTGTATTAAAGTATATTAAATAACCTATTTGAAATAAAATATACAAGATACCTTCTTCTCTTTTATTTGAAATATTAACGGCCCTGCTAACATATCTTATTGAATCTGATAAGAATGTAACAGATAGGATATGTTATAACAAAACTAAAACATAAATGTAACAGGTATTTATAGTTAATATGAAGCTGACTGAAGTTTGGAACGTTTTTGGAACGAATTTTTCAAAACGATTTCTCCCATTTCTCCTTTGGCACAGATGTTCCTCTGCATGCCAGAAAACAAATAGAAAACACCCCGATCGAATACACGCGTCGGAAGCCACCCTTATGGGCGAAAAACAACCCTCGAAACAACTTAAAAATTTTTCAAAGATCGTAGAATGATTTCTCCCATTTCTCCTTTTGCACAGAGGTCACTCTGCATGCCAGACAATAAATAAAAAATACCACGATCGAATACATGCGTCGGAAGCCACTCTTACGGGCGAAAAACCACCCTCGAAACAACTTAATAAAGTGGTTTTTCTCCCATAAGGGTGCCTTCCGACACATGTATTCGATCACTCACTCTGCATGCCAGACAATAAATAAAAAATACCACGATCGAATACATGCGTCGGAAGACACCCTTATGGGCGAAAAACCACCCTCGAAACAACTTAATAAAGTGGTTTTTCTCCCATAAGGGTGCCTTCCGACGTATGTATTCGATCGGGGTGTTTTCTATTTATTGTCTGGCATGCAGAGTGAGCTCTGTGCAAAAGGAGGAATGGGAGAAATCATTCTACGAT